AGAATGTGCCATTATCTGGGTAGCTACTGCACTACCTCTAATATCAAACCAGATTTTTCTATGCAAGAACACACATTAGGCTGAGGACTGCTCCAGTTCCAGTATTTAGAAGACTGTAGTAAAAATAAAGAGGACAAGTCAAAGAAAATAAAGCCCTACCCTTTAAGTTCACAAGACTGCCAGCTAACTTGACTGATGAAGCCCTGTAATTCTTTACCCACATTAAATTAGAAAAGCTGGGAAATTAAGGCAGAGCAGTAGTTTCTCATAGGTCTTTATTTTTGTAAAACTGAATACTGAACGGTTAAAAAGAAACTGCAACTCCCAACTGAGCCTATCAAGAAAGAACTATAACACTAGTGGGTTAGCCTACGTAAGGATAAGTTTTGGAAGCATTAACCAGACACTTCACTCTTAACTACTTTGTCCAATTCAAGAGAATTAGACATACATGAACTCTGCAGATACATCAGAGAGCAAATATAGCTTGATAAGAATGAGGCTTTTTTTTTTTTTTTTTAAATAAAATTAAAAAAATCACGTGTAGCAGTCAAAAATATTGAAAAGATATAAGTTTTGGGAAGAGTTTAGTAACTAGTAAGGGGAACAATTCAGAAGGCGCAGGAGTGGGGGAGGAAGGGTGTCTGTATCAGTGGATAAAAAAAAACAAACATCAACATTAAAAAAATAAAAGAAAAAAAATCAGATTTTTTTTTTTTAAAAAAATGTAGATTATTTTTGATTTAGTCTTTTTTAATTGTTTTGTTAAAAAGCTTTTAAAAAAATTAAAACTATCTTTATATAGGTTTATATTTAAGATACATTAAAGTTCCAATATCATAATGGAATAGGGATTATAATTTCTAATTATATATTATTTGAGGCAATATACTCATATAACCTTTATAGAAAAGTTTTATAAATAGGTTACAACAGGCCATGAGTTATATGACCAGGCTGCCTGGCATGGTGCGGCAGCTTCCACCAAAGGCAGGGGGGTGCCTCAGGCCTCTTCTCCTCCCTTCCAGCCTGTGCCAGGGGCTGGGCTTGTGCTGCTGCTGCCTGCATAAACTGGAGCCAACATGCTATTATGGCCTGAGTGGGACGGAGGCAGCTGGGGGCACCTCCAGCTAGGCTGGGAGGGGACAGGGGGCTGTGGGTCGAGTGAGGGACACCAACTAGCATGCCCCAGGGGGGCAGGGGACTCAAGTTCAGACACCAGCAGCGTCAGGGGTTGTGGGTCAGGAGAGGACATGGATCTTTGCAAATGGGTCCCAGTAGGAAAAAAGAAAAAAAAAAAAACAAAACAGTTCTAGACTGAGCCTGAACCCTAGATCCCTGCCTCACTGGGCCATGCTGGTTGGTGTCCCTCACTCCTGACCCACAGTCCCCTGCCCCACCCCCCAGCTGCCCCTGTCCCACACGGGCCATAGCACGTTGGCTCCAGCTCACGCGGGCAGCAGTGGAGCAAGTCCAGCCCCGGCACGAAGGGAGGAGGAGAGGCCTGCAGCACGCTCCATGCCCTGGGTGGGAGCCACTGCACCACACCAGGCAGCCAGTCATGGGCCCTCCCGCCCCCAGAGCAGCATCTTCCAGCCACCCCAGCCCTGCAAGCACAGGCACCAGCCCTGGTGCCACCAGCCAAGCCACACAGCTCTCTGCCATCCCCTTCCCCCGCTGAAAGGGGCAGGCGCCTTCCTGCCACCCTTCTGCCCTGCCACAGCTCGCGACCCTTTGAAATATTCTTGTGACCCACTTTTGGGTTTCCACCCGCGGGTTGAGAAACACTAGTCTAGAGAAGATCCTATTAAGCATCTCTGTGGTGCTTAGTTTCAGTTCTCAAACTGGATGTCTCTCTCCAGAGACAATATTTTTGTTAACAGCATTAAATGGAGATGAGAGACAACAGACCTGACTATCTACCCATCAGCCCTGTTGTTGTTCTACAAGATTGTGTACAGAGTCAAGTCCTTACCCCTCTCTAGAAGTGCAAAGTTTCAGGAAGTTAAGTGAAAAGGATATCAAACAACAAGAATGGACTTCTTGTAGAAAACAACGATCAAGTCAAGGCTTCCTGACCACCAATTTAAATCATTACTTAAATCATAGGATAAATCGATTTGATTTAAATCAGATCTATACTAGCATGAATTAGCTTTACTTTTCTGAAGACTTTAATGACAGTTACACCTATAGATACACACTTCACCTAGAGAAACCTTAAAAAAAAAAAAAAAAAAAAGTACAGCAAGCCAGACATTAACCTGATCAAAGGACTACTGCAGGATACATCTGCATCTCAGGAACAGATTTGACACTGGTGTCAGGAAGAACTCATCCAAGGGGAACAGACAGCTGAGGTTGTCTGCCAGGTGAAAAATGGAAGCAGGACATTTCCAGATTATTCTATAGCTTAATTGCATTAAGGGAAGACTCAAACCTAATGAACCCCTTCATACATCAGTTTCTTATAAAAATAAAATTACTTGCTTCTAAGTGCCTTAAAAATTCAAGCATCTCCATAAATTAAATGACCTTCCAAATCAACATTCAACACAACCATTCATGAAAATTGTATTTTTACCATGTTGTTGTCTCCAGAACAAATTACTTCAATTGGGGCTGTAAGGTTGGGGGAGGGAAGAAACAAGATAGGAAGGAAGAACACCTCAAGATAAGCCACTTTTCTATAGGCAAATTTTGACAGGAAAAAGTACACCACAGATTAAAATCATGACAGAAGTTTAGAAGGGACTCAAGATGGGGAAACTGTTTAAAGGGAACCAGATTGAGAAAGCACCTGCCATGGTCCTGAAGTCATGTCTGCCTAGATTACTACTCCCTGATGTCAGCCTTTACCTAAAGTAAAGTACTCTATGAGCACACAGACAGCTTCAAAATCTTCTCTAAATGCTTCGTTTCTTCTGCAGAAAGTCATCCTGGATCACTCACTCACATTCATACACCAGATTAGATTCTAAAAGAAGTGCTACAGATGGCAACACCCAGTTAGACCTGATGGGTAAGCACGAGTGGCACTGTAAGCTAGGGCCTGCTCTAAGAGAAGTGCAAAATTCCACTCTGGGGTAAGTAATAAAAGATCTTTGCCTTGAAAATTGGGAGCGGGGGGGGGTTGCACCCAAAGGAAAGCACTAGTTGCAAATACACTCCATCAGTTGATCTTTATATTGCCTACATTCCTAGTTTCAATTTCACTATTGAAATGTTTTGTTTAATGTGTTTCTGGATGCCAAAGTACTGTACTTTTTCGGCTTCTTCACTTGAATACTCTGCTTGCTCTTTCTTCCTGCCACCAGCATAACTCAAGGTTCTATTTCTTCCAGTACACAGGTTAACTGGACTAGGCCCTACATAATTTTTATATGGCCTACCATTTTATACTTTGGAGATTCTGCTCAGTTGCAGTTACATATTTTAGAAGCCTAAACCAGAAGTCATAACCCTAAAGTAAACTAGTATTTTACTCTGAAGAAGAAAAAAAAAAAAAAAAAGAAATGAAGAATGTATAAATTACGCACTAATTGATCAATTCATTCCATCTTAAAAATGGCATGAAAACTCTTGAAAGCTAGCAATAGTTCACTTATGAATCAGATTAAGATCTATGTTATATAAAGCTTGTTAAGAACTATGTAAAAAACTGATTATCGGAGAACTAGAAAATGTTTCCAAAACCCAAGAGACTAGCTTTCAAACCACACAAGGAGCTAGCTGACCAAACAGAAGTGCACAAAACTAAGTTCTGTACCAGAACTCTGAGACTAAAACATAGCAGTAATCACTCTTCACATGGCAACATTTTAACCAGATCATCCAGAAGTAAAAACAATGTTGTATAACACCAGTAAAAGGTTCTCTCAGAAAAAGCAATACTTGCTTTTAAGCAATGTTTCCTTAACATAGTACAGAGAATAATGAAGATTACCATATTTTCAATTTGTTTAGGAATAGAGACAATTCTGTCTCACTAAAGAACAGTCAGTGCCAAGACTGGTCAAGATGCTAGGTAAAGTAACAGTAAGTCTGGGAAAGTGATAACTTTGCTCCCTCTCAATGATCCATTCCTACATTACCTAGCAAAGCACTGACCAGACCACTATCCTCCCCATAAAACAAGTAGAAAGTAAAAAGTGAGCAATTCCAAAGCAGCAGAATGGG